CCCTCCCCTTCTCTCCCCCCACAAGAGTCTGCACCATCATCATTAGGCCCAGATGGCCACACACACCCACGTCAGAACTTCAGAAAACTTGAGCTAAGGGTTCTCCCTAGAGGATCCACAATCCTCTGAGTAGGTTAGTGAGAAAAAAAAAAGAAGAAGAACTGAGAAATTGCTTTATGGAAAAGTTCTCCAACTCATGGATGCAAACCCCATGGGTGTTTATCTGGACAGAAGAATCTCTCACTTCATTTTTCTTGCAGCCTAAGAGTGGCAAGTGGATAATTTTCTATTTTTGTGGAACTGCTGCCAACACCTTATTATTCCCTCTGTAATTGAAACAGAAGAGTGGGACTAAATGATAAAGACAAACAAAAGGAGCAAATAACACTATTACTTCACATGCTAACTATGGCTTTTGCAACATGTCTGAATACAACCTGTCTTTCTCTGGGAAAACAGAGTAACCCAGCTAAAATATACAAAGGCCTCTCAAAAAGAATGTTTATTATTTTCTGACTGGCCAATATGGGAAGCTCTTTCTTATATTTAACAACTTTCTCACCTGCTATGAGATAAGTGGATGCATTCAAAGGCTCAGTCACCAGCCTCTGGCACTGCTGGGAGGAAGTGGAACTCATGAGAGGCGGGGCTTAGCGGGAGGCAGTTGGGTCATCGGGTGCACTGCCCTTGGTGGGGATGTTATGATCTCAACTGTTCCTTGTCCTCTCTCTTTCACACCAAACCATATGGTTTTTCACCACAGGCCCAAAAGCAATGAGGCCAACCAATCGTGGACTTATGCCTCCACACGCAAGCCTAAATAAACCTTTTCTCTTCCCAAGCTGATGATCACAGGTATTTGTTACAATACTTGAAAGCTGGGCTGGGGATTTGGCTCGGTAGTTCCACCTCCTGCCTTGCAAGCTCAAAGGCCTGAGTTTAATCCCCAGTACCAAAAATTAAAAATAAAAATAAAAAACAATACTTGAAAGCTGTCTAACATACCCCCACATGGGTCTGAAAAGCTGGCTGGCTGCTCCGGATGCTTGTTTTCCCAGACTCCTTTGTGGCCAGCACAAAGGCAGGTAACGTCACCCACCCCTTGAATCCAAGGACAGGAAGCAAGAACAGCGGAGTGTGCTTTTTCTCTGATATCTGCAGCAACACTGTTTCAGAAATAAGTCACTGGGCCCAAAATTCTGCCAAGTCAGTCTCCTAAAAGCAGCCTGTGAACTAAGGTTTATTTGGGACCCAAGCTCAGGAAGTTAGGGAGCCAGAGTGCATTTTAATCAAAGGGTCTCCCCTGTGAGCACCCAAGCTTTGGCCCCATGGGGGTCCCTGGGGGATGGGTTAGAACAAACTCAGTTTACCCCACTGGGAGGTGAGAAATCTGGACTACTAGCCAACGTCATGGACTAAATGTATACATCCCCTCCCCATTCCTGCGTCAAAGCCCTGTGTGGCTATACGTGGAGTAAGGAAGTAATTAAGGTAAATAAAGTCATAAGAGTGGACCCTGACCCATCCAGTGTTCTTATGGAAGAGCCGCCAAAGAGCCCACACACAAGGAGAGGCCATCTGAGGACACAGGAAGAAGGTCGCCATCTAGACACAGAAGAAAGCCCTTCACTGGAAGCCAAATCAGCCAGAACCTTGACCTTGGACTTCCAGCCTCCAGGACTCAAAAAATTAAGTACTATGGCTCAGGTTGTGGTACATTATTATGGCTTCCTGAACTGACAGATACCTCCTCTGCTTCCCTTTGTCTTGTGAGCACTGTCACTCCCAGCCTGCGCCACTTGGGGTGGCCGGCATACTGTCAGAGGCAGCCACTGGGCAAAAGAATCATGGCAACTTTGAGGGACCCTAAGAGAGGAAGGAGCTGTGGGTGTCCATGGGGCTACAGGTAAGACCGTGACGAAACTGCTGCACTTAGAAGTCTGTGGCAGCAGGGGTGGGTTTTTCACCAGACCGGCTCTGAGGCATCAGCCCTTTTCCTGGAGACCCACCTCGGGCCAGGTGCCCAACTCTCCCAGACTCAGCAAGCTGCTTTCTCATGAATTTCTCTTCCTTTCTGTTGCTTGCAACTAGAAATACCCACCGTGCACTCCACATTAAGTCTTTATCCATATCATCTGTATCTCACCACCCAAAACTGCAACAACAAAGATACAAGGCAAACTCATCGATGACCCTGAAGGGATACCCTCTGCAAAATGAATGTACAGCATCTGCCTCAAATATGTATCAAAAAGCCTTAACACTTTCTCATGGCACCCAGCACTTCTGTTGCTAGCTAATTGTCTTAAAAATATATAATTGGATAAGAACTAAAAGATGAAGACTTTTTTCAGAGCATTATCAATAACAGCAAAAAAAAATTAGAAACAAATCAAAGGTCCAAAACCAGAGGAATATTTAAATAACTGCAAGACACGTACAGTGGAATACTTTGTAGGTATTAAAAATGACATTATATCAGTATGTTTTCAATGTGAAAAAAATGTTCATGGTGTAAACAAAAAAGCAAGTTGCATAACAGTATATTCAGTGGGATCTCAGTTTTGTAAGAAAAAATATGCAAGTCTTAAGAAAATACAGACAGAATATATATCAATATATTCATGAAAGTTATACTGGGGGAGAAGAAGAACAAAGGTAATTTTTGTTTTTACCTTATATTTAAATATATGTATAATGGTTCAATCAGAAGCATTAGCTACTTACCACATTTTTACATCAAAGTAGTACCTGCTCCTTTCATTTGCAAAGATGTTCTAGGGTAAGAAAGTAGCTATCACTAAAAAGTTTACTAAGGTAGTTAAGGAAATCTCCCATAGGAGAAGACATATGAAGATTGCATTAATCAACTTTCCCATTGCTAGCGTGATACTTGACACCCACGACTTAAAGGAGAGGTTTAATTTAGCTCATGGTCTCAGACGATTCAGTCCATAGTCAGCTGGCCAAAGGCAAGAACATCGTGGTGGAAGGACTTAGCCAAGCAAGGTTGCTTAGTTTATGGTGGTGAGGAAGGAGAGAAGGGAACAGCACCAAAGAGGAAAGGCAAAGGACCACATACAGTACCCAACATCACACCTCTGTAACTCATCCAGACACACCCAGAAGTGTGCTTTACTAAGAATCCCTGAGGAAGCTCCCAAGCCAATCAGGTTGACACTACTAAGCTCAACCACCACCCAATCTTCAAGACAATTTAGCATATAATTTAACACGGCCTTACTCAAACTGCCATGGTTAATATCAGCCGGCACAAAAATAATGGAAAGATTATGCGGGAACAATTAGCCATCAAGTGTGACTCAATATGGGAATTTATTCAGGGCTAAAAGTACAAACCTAAGACTGTCTTCATCATCAGTTGAATCAAGATGTTCTGGAATAAAACCAATTACATGAGATCAAAAAGTCCTGGCCAAAAAAAAATAGACTTTGGATTATATACAAATATTAATAAAAGCAGTAGATATTACTGATATCATAACTGTTGTTAGCAGGACATTTGCAAGTCCTAAGGAGACAAATAAATATCTCTGCCAGAAAAACTAAAGCAAACATGTAAGGCGAGCACTACTAAATTATGTTCTGTTGCCCTGGCATCTCTGAGGCTTTGCGAAGTTATCTGACACGTTACAGAATCTGGAATTTGTCACGGGTTACGGGAGAAGTCATTTCTCCCACTTATCTATCAGATGGCCAAAAGACTGTTTTACTTCTAGTCGTGTATTTAGCACCTGGTGAGATAGAAGCTGCACTGCTCCCCACCACCTTTTACCTCCTTGCGCCATCCAAGCAAGCTCAGATCTGGCTTGGGTGAGGCATCCGTGCACACAGAGCTTGCACTCTGTCCCTTCTCCATTTTGCTCGGCCCCGAGAGCCTGACCTTCACAGGTGACACCATGGACTCCTGTGACCTTGAGCTTCCGGGAGGGTCTGGCCAATGGGGAGCCCCTGCAGGAGAAGGATGAGGTAGGAGCTTCTCTCGGTTGAACCAGACGCTGGACCAAGGCTGCGCTCACCCAAGGTGGTGACAAACCTTCCCCAGATGGAGCCAGTTGGGATTCCAGAGGAAGAATCCAGAAATATCGGGGTGATCGGCCCATAGCGATTCTCGGAAGAGCTTACACAGTGCCACAGTGCCCTCACAGGATGTTCTACCTATGTGTCCAGGTGTGGAGTTTCTACGGGGATCAAGGAACTTGACTCAGGAGAACTAGATTCTGTGAGTGTTGTGGCAACGACCTAGATACCTTTATCAGCGCCCAGGAATGTTCAAGGTCCTGGCTTGGTTTCAAGTCTGCAAGGAAAAGACAGTGGGCTGCAGACCAGGTTAGTACTCCCTGGCTCTCTCCTGCAGATGGCCCACATCTCTCGGCCTTGGGGCTAGAACCGGAAGCAGCCTCTCCACAGAGGGTTTGACCCTCGGTACATCAGCCTAGGCTCTGGAAGCCACTCACCCAGCCACCTTCCAGCCTGGGGGTGCTAAGACCGTGCAGGCACCAGCAACAGAGCACTGCGATCGTCTGTGAATCTTTGAACACCTCCCCGCCATTGTAAACAGTCACTCTATTCATCGCTCCTCAGATTTCTCAATCGAGTTCGTCACCTCTTTCCCACAGGGATTCCGACTGATCCCTATGTCTTGGGGAAAGCTGGTCTTGCTCCAGGAACTCACCACGGTTTGTTTAAGGCAATCAGCAAATTCCATTCCGGTGACCAAGGAGTGGGCAGAAGCCATGGGTTCAGCGTGGGTGCAGTCACTTTGGGGCGGATATTGGCAGAGCCGTCCCTGATGACACACGGGGGGGGGCTGTCTTACTCAAAGAACAATGAGGGTCAGAGTGAGCTAGGAGGGGTCTCCCCAAGGCCATCAGGGCCTGGCTGCTTTCACGCAGGGTCTCTGCCAGGCCTGTGTGCTTGTGCCGGTGGGAGGAGCAGGTGCAGGGAGGCGCCAGGCCCGGAAGTCGGGTATGTGCCTTCCTCCCGTGCTCCCCAGGTCAGAACTCAGCCCAGGGCCACACCTGACCACAGGAGGCTGGGGTGCAGCGTTGCTGTGTGACCACGAAGCAGACAGAACAGTTGGATGAACCACTGGGCCAGTCTAACTCATTCTCCATCAAGGAGGGGTTGTTCTGCTGGAATGCACCGGGCAGCACGCAGCAGGAGTGAACTACGGTGACTTCGGTAAGAAGGGATTCATTTGTTTTCATGCATCAAGGAATCTGGGAGTAGACAATCCAGAGCTGGCAAAAAAGGCCCTCTCCTCCCTTCCTCCTCTGTAGCCCTTGAAGCGTGACATATATGCGTCCGGTTGGGAGACAGCAAACGGAGCCCTCTTAGTGCCAGACCCATCTGTGTCAGCTGCCCCGAAGCCCACCACAGCTCTAGAGACACAAACCAAGTGTCGTTATTGCTTCAGATCTTTCAAGCCGGACTTTCTCTTCCTTGAAGAAAAAAATCCTAACTCATAAAACCAAATTCTTGGATTCTTTAGCCCCGTACATACCCGACAATGGATTTGACCACATTTATCTCCTCAGACCAAGACGTGGGAATAAAATTAACATGAGCTGATCAAACATGGCAGACACCTTTGAGTAGGAAAACTTGTATTTTTTTTAAACTAAGTTTATTGGTACCATTTAGCTACACGTAATGATCACATTCATCATATGGAATTTGCACTTGTATGTGAAACAGCTTCTTTTTTTTAACTTGTATTTTTAAAAAAGAAAAATTCAAAGTGAAATCACACAATTAAATGTCACTGTCAAGCATGTTTTCCTCCCCTATTATCCTCGAAGTTTTGGAAGGCCTGTAAATAGATTTTAAATTTTGGTATTAATTATCCCCACTGGTTCTGCAGTCGTGCGCTGAAGTGCTGCATTTTTAAGTTTCAATAATTGGCCTCCTGAGACTCGCGGAGAGAAAGAACACACTCCAGAATGTCATCTTCTATTCTCAACATGTGACTATCATTATCTTCAAACAGTAATGCTTCCAAATGTACGAGCTATGTATGAGCTACTGTAGGGCTTTAAAATCCTTGGCTTGACATTTATAGCTGTCCTGGCCAGGAGAAGTTCATTTTAGCTGGGTTCCACTTAGGTTTCATGCATGCCCTCTCGGCTGTTTGGAAACACTGTAAAATATTGGGATACACACACACACACACACACACACACACACACACACCCCTACCCTCAGTCAGGTTTTTTGTTTTTGGCAGGAGCTGTGTGTCACAGATTCAGAAGGAGGAAGTGATTTAGACTAAGTCTATGACTGCACAAAGCCATCTGATCCCCAATCAATGTCACACAGCGAGGGCAGTCCCAGGATGAACGGCCAAGCTGGCCCGTGTGTGCAGGTAAGCTTTCTCCAGAACCCTGATTGGGCCCCGTTAAAGATCCCAGTTCCCGGAGGTCCAGGCTGGAGCAGAGATGCCAAGCCCAGTTAGGAGAGCCTCCAAAACCTCTCTTGAGCCTTTGGTAGAGGTAAAATGGTGTTCTTAAACTAAACTGGCCACTGCGGAGGGAGAGCTTTTTCTCAGAGTGGGATCCTTGAACTAAGAACAGTCACTGCATTGATGGAAGCTGGGCTTCCTTTATTTCCACACAGCAGGGAAGAGGCAGAATCAATCTCTGGAATCCAGGGAAGAAATCTTCCAGAAATGACCTGCCGGGCCACTGTCGTACGTGTTTGCTCTTCTGTGAGGCTGTCCATGCTCTAAGCACAAGTTTGTTTCTTCTTTCTCTCTGTCTCCCTCTCCCTCTGTTCCCCCCCAACAAAAGCCGCAGTGTGTTAAACCGTGTTAATTATTATATTGAGACACAGTGACGCATTGGCACGAATCCTCCCCCTCCCCCAAGCACGCCGAGCCCATCCTTCTCGCTGCTTTCTGAAGCAGCTCTGCAGTCCTCTTTCCTGAGTGTCTAGCTGCACTGTCACGGCTGTCTTGATGTCCTTTACTGATTCAAAATGTTTATCTTTCGGGCCGGGGATTTAGCTCAGCGGTTCGGTGGCCTGCCTTGCAAGCGCAAGGACCCAAGTTCAATTCCCGGTACCAAAAAAAAAAAGTTTACCTTTCATGGTCATTTTGACTTGTGAAAAGAACCAGAAGTCGTACGGTACCAGATCCAGCACGCAGTGTAAGACCTCACAATGCTTGCACAAGCCTACCCTCTGTCGATGGCTCTCGGCGACAGCATCCACCAGATATTTTTTTTAACATTCCTCATAAAATCTCTAAAGAAGACTTCCACAACTGCTTCAGAAAATGTCAAAAATGAAGGAGTGTGTTAGAAGCCAGGGGGAGTTATTTGGAGTATTCTGATTAATGGCAACATGTATTTTACTGTAACACATTTTTAAATTTTAAGATTGCCATATTTTTAGCACCCCATATATTAAACACTTGCATATATGGACATACGTATATGGTACATCCATAAATAACTGTGTATGTGCACATGTAGTGTTATGTATTATACACTGGTATACATATAACACATGCTATTTATATTATCTTTATACACCTGTGATAACACTATGTATGTATATATATATTCTATATCATATATGTATCAGAGAGAATATGAAAATGTTATTTATATATGTTCTGAATCACACACACACGGAACAACTTATAGATTTATATTTGCCTGCAATGACATACAAAATGTTTTAATCTTTTAATAAATGCATTGAAAATCAAACAGATGAACAAATACGGCCCAGGGAATACAATCTGCACCCTGACCTTCCCTGTGAAGACTTCCAGACCCAGCATTGTTTGGGGCACCAAGTCCTAGACAGCACCCCATCGTCAGGGGTCAGAGGGTAAACTGAGGCACGCGCGGCTAAGGAGCAGAAGGAATAAACCACCACCCGTCGTGCCTGAAAAACCAGACCAGCTTTCCACTCGCGACTCTGTCTCAACAGAAGTCATGGGAGTTCCGCCCAAAGACGCAGAAAGCACGGTCCCGCGGCTCTGCCCGCTCGGCCGCTAGGTGGCTGCGGGACCCGCCCGCTTCAGCTTGCCCACCGCCTCCCAGGCCAGGGCGGTGGCAAGTGCGTCCCGTGGCCTAGTGGCCACTCCCAAGCCCACTGGCTTCTCCCGTCTCTCCTGGAGTCCCCCGTGGGAAGCGTTTGCCATTTCTCCTCATCCCAAAGAGCTGGCTTGACTGCAGTTCTCACTCTTTGAGCTGCTGTGTCAATACTTCAAAACATTCAGTCAGTTAAATCAGTTCAGCCAAAAATTGTCACAATGTTTAGCATTGTGTTGACACAGCCCGTGGCACTGGGGGAGATACAGCTCATTAAGTTCTTAGTGATTCTTTACGGAGCAGCGCTGCGCACGGTTACAGCTACAGATGTAACCGGACCACCGTGACAAAAGGGAGGAAATGAATTCACACCGCAGGCCCTGCCATGCCAGCGCCGCCGGATTTCTGCTCTTCTCAGTCCATTAAATCTCATCCGAACCTGAGCCCTGTGTGCCGCCTGGCTCCGGAGTTGGATTTAAGATGTAGTTTATTATGGAGCTCCTGTTTACACACTCCTGTTTACTCAAAAGATGCAAAAAAAAAAAAAAA